TTAAATTATTCTTAGACTTGAGGGAAAGATTAGTTCTGAAGATTATCATTTTAGGGAGACACATGCACCTGCTTTATAACATTTCAAACAATATGAGAGAGTATAGTAGTGAGAAGTACTCCTTTCCTCAACCACCAATCCTGTGCTCTTTCACAGAGGCATCCATCATCAGGTTTGGGGCAAGGGGACGTTGTATCTTTCCAGAGAGATTCTCAATATAGTTAAGTAACTGCTTCTTACTCATTAAGTCTAAATTTTTATTTATCCAATTGTACCACAAACCTAATGTTTCATTATGTCTAATTAGAACAAATTAATAAAAACAGGTGCCTTTAAAAATTAGAAATAAGTACAACGTATAGAATAAGGCTCAGTTCAAAAGATCTTTTTAAATTGTTTTGACTTTAAAATACCTTTTCTGTTGAGGAATGTTGTTTAATCAATAATTTTCTAAAGTACATTAAATGGTCTTTGATATGTAAATATAAATACAAAATATTTGCATTTTAGAATCATTTAAAAAATCTTGCCGTAAATATTTGCCGCATTTTTTCTCTGTGTGATGTATTATTATATGCTGCAAATTACGTTTAATGAATTTCCTGGAATTTATTCAAATGCATGGCAATTTTTCTTCAGAATTTTATTTCTTGTTACTTAACCACACAAGAATGTAAGTCTCAAATTAAATTGATTGCTGCTAATTTTTTACAAGTAAATTGACGTATAATTTTTAGGTTTCTTTTTAATGTTAAATTGCATTTTATTTTCCCCCATGTTGAAAGACTATTAGGGTAACAGCAAGGCATGCAAATTGAGGTGTCTCTTATGTGCTTTTTAAGAAAAACATTTCTCCTTGGCACTATACTCAATTAACAAAACATTTCATAACAAAGAAACATTGCTTTTACAAGCCCTTGTGTAGAAAGCTAATGCAAATGGCAAACTTTAACCTTTTCTTTCTGTCTACTTTTTAGTCTTCAATCTGGCATTGTCAAGAGCTTTAAAAAGGGTTATCAAATAAGGACAGAAAATTTCTAGCTTGTGGTCTTCGTTCTTTAGTATCTTCTAAAAGATACCCTCAGAGACAGCGCTCCATGAGTTAAGAAGGGAAGATTATGTCAGTTTTCCCCATATTGATCTGTAGATCCAACTCTATTAATCTTGAAAGACTTTCTACAAAGTGACAGATTGATTCAAAATTTTTAAAAAGGAGGATGGCCAGTGGTCTATAATCCCAACACTTTGGGAGGCCTAAGTAGGTGGATCACTTGAGGCCAGGAGTTTGAGACCATCCTGAGCAACATAGTAAGACCTCTTCTCTACAAAAAATAAAAAAAATTAGCTGGGTATGGTGGTGTGCACGTGTGGTCCTAGCTCCTTAGAAGGCTGAGGTGGGAGGATAGCTAGAGCCCAGGAGTTTGAACAAGTTAGAGAACTCACAATAATATAAAGCTATATATTCATTGAGACAGTGTGATAATGGTTTAAAGATGCATAAATATGGCTGGGCATGGTGGCTCACACCTGTAACCCTAACAATTTAGAAGGCCTAGGCGGGAAGATCTTTGAGGCCAGTTTGAGTCCAGCCGGGGCAATAGCAAGATCCTGTCTCTACCAAAAAAAAAAAAAATTAGTTGGGCTTGGTGGTGTGCACCTGTAAGCCTCAGCTACGTGCGGAGGCTGAGCCAGGAGGATCACTTGAGTCCAGGAGTTTGAGGCTGCAATGAGCTATGATTATGCCACTGCACTCCAGCCTAGGCTAAAGAGTAAGACCCTGTCTGTCTCTTAAAAACAAAAAAGATATACAGATATATCAGTGGAGAGTCCAGAAATAGACCCACATGTGTATGTATACAGTGGGGTTTTATTTTAACCTTATAGCCAGCAGAAAGAAAGAAAGGATTATGTTCTCTCTCGCTCTCTCTCTCTCTCCTTTTTTTTTTTAAATCTCTCCCTCTCTCTGTCTCTCTCCCTCTCTCTCCTTTTTTTTTTTTTTTTAAAGACCAGGTCTCACTCTGTTGTCCAGGCTGGAGGAGTGCAGTGGTACAATCATAGCTTACTGTAGCCTCAAACTCCTGGGCTCAAGCTATCCTCCCACCTCAGCCTCCTCAGTAGCTGGGACTACAGGCACGTACCACCATGCCTAGCTATTAATTTTTTAAAAAATTGTTTGTAGAGATAAGTTCTCATTAAGTTGCAGTAGCTGTTTTTTTTTTTTTTTCTTTTTAAGAAAAGTGCCAAAGCAGTTCAATGGGGAAAGTCTTCAAGAACCTGGTGCCAGAACAATTAGATCATCTGTAGAGGGGGCCAAAAAATGAACCTGTTACTTGACACCATACACAAAAAAATTGATTTGACATGGATCATAGACCTAAACGTAAAATCTAAATGTCTGACACTTTTTGAAGAAAATAGGGAGACATAATCTTTATTATATTGAAATAGGTAAAGATTTCTTCCAGGAGTCACAAAAAGCACTAAAAAGAAAAAAATTGATAAATTGGACTTCATCAAAATTAAAAATGTTTCTGCTCAAAGAAACCATTAAGAAAATGAATGGGCAAACCATCCTGGGACAAAAATATTCTTATTACATATATCTATAAGGGATTTGTTTCCAGAATATACTTTTAAAATCATTTCTATAAATTGATAGTAAAAGACAAATGACCCAATTAAAAATAATGGGCAAAAGATGTGAATAAACATTGCGCAAAAGAAGTTATATAAATGACCAGTAAACAAATGAAAGGGTGTTCAACCTCATTTGTCATCAGAGAAATGCAAATTAAAACTACGTGAAATACTCCTTCTAGAACCACTAAATTAAAAAGTCTGACACCACCAAATGTTGGCAAGGATGTGAAGCAGCTAAATTCATAAACTGCCGATGGGAGTGTAAAATGGTACAACAGCTTTGGAAAACTGGCACCTAAAAAGTTAAATATGCATCTACCCTATTACTCTGCAGTTCCACTTCTAAGTATTTGCCAAGAGAAATGTCAATATATGTCTACAAAGCCTTGTATCAGAACTTACTGTGCTGTTAATTTGTTGTACATCTTTTTTTTTTTTTTTTGAAACAGGGTCTTGCTCTGTTTCCCAGGTTAGAGTGTAGTGGCATCATCCTAGCTCACTGCAACCTGGGCTCAACCAGTCCTCCTGGTTCAGCCTCCCATGTAGCTGAGACTATAGATGCACAGTACCATGCCTGGCTAATTTTTGTATTTTTTGTAGAGATGAGGTCTCATTATGTTGCCCAGGCTGGCCTCACACTGTTCTCCCATCTTGGCCTCCCAAAATGCTAGGATTACTAGCTTAAGCCACTACTCCTGGCCACATTGTTTTTTAATAGTAAAAGATTGAAAGTAGCCCCAATGTCCCCTCAACAGAAGACCAGTTAATTTAGTTATGACATAGTCATTGCTATATTATTAGCTGTAAAGCAATTAGAAATGTCTTTATATATTGGTACGAATGCCTCTGAATATATTATTATCAAGTGTAAAAAGCAAGATACAGAATAGTATTTTTTTTAATGTATGTCTAAACGTGCACACAAGTGTATGCATAGAATGTATCTCTAAAGGTATACACAAAAAATTGCTTAATGTCAGTTACCCCTGAGAAGGGTAATTGGGTAGAGTGCTCAGATAAAGAAGAGGGACTTTTCACTGTCTACTCTTTTGTACCTTTTGAATTTTTTTTTCTTTCCTTTTTTTTTTTTTTTTTTTTTTTTGTTTTTTTTTTTTTTTTTTTTTTTTTTTTTTTTTTTTTTTTTTTAAGAGACACTCTGTTGCCCAGACTAGAGGGCAGTGGTGCAATCATAGCTCACTGAAGCCTCGAACTCCTGTACTCAAGCAATCCTCCTGCCTCCCAGAGTGTTGAGATTATAGGCATTAACCACCATGCCTGGCCCCTTTTTGAATTTTCTATCATATGAATGCAGTGCTATACAGAATATAAATAAATTTTATGAAATTATATTTAGAAGGGCAAATTAGAGATTAGAGATATCTGAAACTCCGAGGTTGCAGCATGCTGAACAGAGGTCCAAAACTGCTAACAAGAATATTTTGAATAATGTAAACTTGATGTGCCCACCTGACTTAATGGGATAATCTAAGATTGTTTTCAAACACTAAACTGGCTCCATCAAAATCAGCTGGAAAGTGTTGTCAGAATACCTGGCCTCTAGTCCTAAGATTTTATAATTCAATAGATCATTGCTAGGCCATGAACAGTTTTGTGTTTAAAAGCTCTCAAGTAACTCCTTTTTTAGCTAGCTATGAAAACTGTCTAAAACATGATATGTCCTTGTAAACTTCCATTCATTTTGTGTTTTGATTCTTTTCTGGTTGAAGTTGTTTTAGAATGCTGTGTTTGAGTTTATTCATTTCTTCATGCATTCAGAAAATGTTGATCACCTATTACAAATACATGAGGTTTTTCTCATATTTAGTCTTGACTGTAGGAATGTCACTTAGACCTTCTCTTAGGGTTGTGGGTGAGTGATTCTGTCTGTCTTTAATCTGGAAGGTTACCTAGTCTTTACTTAACATGTGACTAATTTTTCCTTTAAATTAACTTAATGTTTTTTCTTCCATATAGATTTCAGAACTGATGTTCCCACCTCTTCCAGTGTGGCACCCTTTGCCCAGAAAAAAGCCAGGAATGTACAGAGGGAATGGCCATCAGAATCACTACCCTCCTCCTCCTGTTCCATTTGGTTATCCAAATCAGGGAAGGAAGAATAAACCATATCGTCCAATTCCAGTGACATGGGTACCTCCTCCTGGAATGCATTGTGACCGGAATCACTGGGTTAATCCTCACATGTTACCACCTCACTAGCTTCTTTGATTTTGTTGGTGTCATGTTGAGAGAAAGGTAGAATAAACCTTACCACACGTTAAAAGTTAAAAGTTCATACCAATAGTAGTGAAGTTAGATGGACCAAACCATCAAACTTATTTTTATAGAAGTTATTGAGAATAATCTTTCTTAAAAATATATATATGCACTTTAGATATATTGATATAGTTTGGAAAACTTTATTAAAGTTAGTCAAGTGCCTGAGTTTTTAATATTGGACTTGAGTATTTATATATTGTGCATCAACTCTGTTGGATACGAGAACACTGTAGGAGTGGACGATCTGTTCTAGCACCTTTGAGCATTTACTTTATGGAGCATATGTAAGTTATTTATATACAAGGAAATCTATTTTATGTCGTTGTTTAGAAAAATTGCGTGAAATCATGTAGTTGCAAATAAAAAGTAGTTTGAGGCATGACAACGTGTGTTTCTGTTCTGTGCATAAAAAAGGAGAAAGAGCAGAGGATATTTCATGTCAATATATTTAAATACTTAGCAAAAATATTAAACAAAATGTGAGAATTTCAGTATTTCCTTTAAAAAATCAACTTTTTATTAACCATACTTTCCCCAAAGACCACATATCAAAATATGTATGTAAAAAGTTAAAAATTTCTTAGTGGTAGCTAATTGAAAATATAAATATAATAAAACGTCTTTTAATTACCAAAGTTACTATCCATAGGATTTTTTAAACCAGGAATTTGGCCTGTAGTACTAATTTCAATATGTCTTCTGAGTTATATGCCCAATGCCATTGCTTGAAGCAGAAAAATGTTCTTACAGCCACTCCAATCTTTGTACCTTGTTCTTTTTTTCAAAAAACATTTAAGTCTTAACTAGAGGTCTAAAATAAAGCCAAATAGTACAGTACTTCAGATTCTTCAGTAGTCCTTCATATTTATACCACTGTAATCCCATCAGTCTTGTAAGCGTACTTGAACTACAAAAAGAAAAAAAGAGATACCTCTATAAGAGTTTGGAATTCTTTCCCAGAGGCAAATTTTTAAAAACTAAGATCAGCAATACTTTTTTCATCACCTGCGTCTTTACATTTCTAGTCTTAAATTATCTGATATACATATCAGAAAAATTATAACTTGCTAGTAAATAATTGGATGGCCTTGGATATTCCAAAAATTCCTGTTTTTTTAAAAAAATTCTATTAAGTATAGAATACAGAAATTTGCACAAATCATAAGGGTATATAGCTCAGTGGTATGAAAGTGTGAAGTCAGTTTTTACAGTGGTATTTAAAATGTTTGCAACTTCATCAGAAAACTCATTTTTTAAACTAAGAGACTTTCCTAGTTTTAATGTTGTACTCTTTGTTAAGCCATATACAACCTTTAACATATTTCGAAATCAGTACTCACTTTTTTGCTTCAAATCTATAGTGAATGCCTATTCAAAATTAACCATGTTTTCGTAGGGCTAATTGGTAACTTGGGAGATTACTTTAAGTTAAAAGAAATTTAACTTTCAAAGTGATTGCAGTGTTTCCTTATGGGTTCTAGAGAGTTTTGTGGTAATATTGACAGATTGTGGGCAAGTGGTATAAAATTGGAAAGTTTCAAGTATTTTTTATCATGAAGTTGGCAGATAGTGTTTGTTTATTAGTTTGCTTGTGTTATAGGTAAGTTGGCCCTCTGTGGCGGTTTCATATTTGCAGATAAAGCCAACCACAGATCAAAAATATTGCTTGAAATACTTGAATACATGAAGATGTACTACCTGCAGAAGATTCTGCCCTTACTGACTATCCATCCTCTACCTTGTTCTAAAACATACCTAGAGCAAAAGAAAGCTCTCATCAATATGGCTTTTTCAATCTATTCCTAATGAAATAAAACTCTTTCTAGCAGTTGTGTCTTAAATTCCAGTAAGCATGGGGTACAAAAGTTTGCCAAACTCTTTTTTAATGGTAATTACTAATTATGACTCTAGGAGTTAAGTCTGTAAGTCTATCTCTCTTAGACAACTCCAGGACTGCTCTAATGAAGACAAAACGCGGCTGTATAATTTCAACTTGAAAACCTTACCAGGCTGTTTAAAGCAGGAGTGGTTTGTCACTGAACAATGAAGATAAATTTGTTTTAATACTCTATTTTATTTTATATTTGTAGGCATAACTGCAAAGCTCTAAATTTTAGAGGTTAAACTTGGACGTGGATTTTGAAAAATACAAATTCTTTTGGTAAGTTCTATTACATCAATACTAAGTGCTTATTTTTGTTTTTTTAGTGTAACATTTATCTCAAAGTATTTAACTTCTCAGTAAACTGTGATTTCAAGGTAAGATAATACAGCATTTATGTTGACTTCTATTTAGCTATCATAGGTATGTGATAATTTCTTATTTGAGAAAAGGGAAAAAAACCTTACAAACATGTACATTTTACCTTGCACAGTAGCCATTCTGTCCATTTTTCAGATAATAGTAAGCAGTAAGTTTTTTGTTTTTATTACTGTGTACCAAAAACTTATTTAATACTTCCTCATAATAACCACATGAGGTAAGAATCATTATTATCCCACTTTAAATAAGGACTCTTAGAGAAGTTAAAAATGCCCAAGATCACAAAAAGCTAAATAATGAAGCCCTGACTTAAAACCAAGCTGGGCTTTTTTAAAGCCCATGCTCTATGATACCTTGGCACCAGATTCAATTTGTTACCTATGAAGTCTGCCAAATCTTGAAACTTGTGAATCAGTATTAGACCAAGATTTGAAAAAAAGAACTGAGATGGAAAGATTATATCAAGTGAAAGAGAACACAAGACATTGAAGTATCTATTAATTAGCCTTTAATAAATCCTTGACCAAGTTCCTTGTTACAGACTATTCAGATATTTGTCAAAAGGGGGCTAACAATTCGGTAGCAATTTTATTTGCTTGAACTAGAAATCAAATTGCAATAGACTGTATAGCCCAATAGGCTGATGATTGAGACGACAAAGCAAACTGCACCAATGATTGGTCAAGTGGGAAGATAACACACAGAGATAACTAACACAGGGTATTATTAGGTCATTAAATATGAAATGTCCGATTTCAAATCAAAAGTTTATTATATCTCAAGCAGTAAAATTAATCAAAGAGTGCACCTAAACTATCGATACAGTTTTGCCATCTTAACGGTAGCTTGTTTATGCCAGCAGCAAAGAAGCCTAGAGAGTGAGTGGTGGTGAAATCGCAAAAGGTGTTTTCCACAGCTTGTTGAGAACTGAATATTTTTTCTTGCAAGAAGGGGTCCAAAACCTGGAGGAAGTGGTAGTGAGTGAGTTGATACAAGGTCTGGTGAATCCAGTGGATGACAGAGTTTCCAAGTCCAACCTCTGTAGTTTGAGCAGTGTTTGTGAGACGTGGTCGAGCGTTGTCTTGAACGAGAATTGGCCTGTCTCTATTGACCAATCTCAGCTGCTTCATCGCAAGCATCCTCATTTTGCCCAACTGGTTGCAGTGGACATCTGCCGTAATCAATTGACCGGGTTTCATGAAGCTTTAGTGGATAATACCAGCGCTAGACTACCAGGCACCATTAGCTTTTTTGATGAATATTTGGTTTTGGACTGTGTTTCGGCACTTCATCTTTATCCAACCATTGTGTCAAATGCTTTCGATTGTCAAAAAGAATCCATTTTTCATTACACATAACAATACAGTGTAGAAATGGTTCACCTTTATGTTGAGACAGCAAAGAAAGGCAAGCTTCCAGAGGATTTCTGTTCTGATACTTGTTTAATTAATGCCAAACCTATCTATCCAGCTTCTTTATCTTGCTAATTTGTTTCAAATGGTCCAATATAGTAATGTTGCTGCTAATTTACACGTAGGTTGAGATGGACTCATTTCCACTACAGCTTTCAGCTCATCATTATCTACCTTGGTCTCAAGTTGCCCACGTGGCTCATTTTTAAGATTAAAATTACCAGAATGGAATTTTTCAAATCGACATACTGTGTGTTCATTAGCACATACTTCCCAAACATTTCGTTGATATTTCAAGCTGTCTGCTGCATTGTTTCCAAGATAATATTCCAAAATAACTCAAATTTTTCACTAATCCATGGTTTCACAAAAATTGCTCAAAAAAAAAATTTGAAAGATAATCACAAGCCAAATCATGTGTTTGAAAGAATGAGAACGTACCCTCACGATAAAAATAAAAGAAGAAGTGTCAAAATGAAATGTCATATATGTCGACTGTCAAACTTAGTACTTAAGGAAATTGGACATTTCATACTTAATAACCTAATACCCAAGTTTATCCCAGTCTTTAACTTGTTTTTTCTTAGCTGTCAAATATATGGTAACTTAACATGATGTACAATATGAGTATACGTTGTGCCAAATTTCTTCATGTACTCTCTGGAATCTGTATTCCAATGGATAAAGGAGTAACATTGTGAGGCTTTTAGGGCAACACAAAAATAACCCTGCGTTGTATTTGGCACTATATGGCATTGGACTTAACCATCCTGGGAAGTTGTCATACAAGCACTAGTTATAGGGAAGGCTTATGCAATTCCTATTTAAAATGGATACACTTTATTGGTTGTAGAAACCATCACCCACCTCCCAATTTAATAGCATTAGGCCATCTTCCATGTTCCTTTGCTGTTCACATATAATTTTAAGGATAACGTAAGGACCAAAATGGAAGCACATTTAAAGCCTTATCAAAAACAAAATCACTATTACAACTTAGATACATCACTGCAATTAGGGTGGTTTGATGTTTATTCTGGAAAGCACATGATTAGCACAAATAAAAGTACTGAATTTGTTTCTATCCTCAAAAAAGGAATAGTTAGCTGTAGAAATGACTTCCATAAAAGTTAGAAACATAATCATGGGAGACTTTTGCTTAAATTTCATAGGACTTGAAAAGACCACCTGTTA